AGAGCGGAGCAACGGTTTCTTTCCTTCCTCACCCAGACACTCCATGTGTGGCGAGGGTCGTCCTCGGGCCACATATCTAGTCACGGACAAGTACTTACAACATATATGTGGGAAGACATGTGCATATGGCATGTACCTGGGTCGTCCTAGGGTTCCAAGTGGCTGTCCCGGAACCGCAGAGACAACCGGATAGCTCGCTTCTTCACGGGGCTTCCGCCCCAGGAGAAGCGCGTGGTGTCCCAGCTGTTGACCCTGATGGACGGCATCAAAGGACGTGGTCAGGCCCGAGCTGACCGGGCCGTCCACCGACGTGGGCTGTGTAAGGCCCTGTGGGAGTGTTCCCCACCCATCGACAGTTCATGGGACCCCAACAAAGACCACCTCATCTTCGGCAGTGTTTGGTCGGAATCGGTTGGGAGAGGCAGGCCTCCTTGTTTGCGCGCTGCGCGTTGCGCAAACAGCTCTGCGCTGGCAGGTGGTGGTCATCGCGGCCACGAACCGCCCCAACACCATCGATGCCGCGCTGCGGCGCTTCGGGCGCTTTGACCGAGAGCTGGACATTGGCGTGCCGGATGATAACGGCAGGTGGGGTGGGCCCGGGGTGGATGAAGAACGTGTGGGGTTTTCTAGACTGCAAGATCTTGCACTGCACAGTGGGAACACCCGTGCGGCGTCAAAGCAGACGTCTCGGCGCTCTGTGGCCGCCTGCTTGTGGCCGCCAGCCGCCCCCGCGCTCCATGGCCTCGCCAGGTACATGTTCAGCAGGATGTAGCCCGTGATGCACTACTCAGTAGACTCAGTAGGCACTGCACCATCTAAGGCTACCAGCACCCTTCCTGGAGCGTTTGGCCACCCGTGGTCATCCATTGAGATTGGCTCACCTCGGGTTTTTCCTTTGTTCTGCCTTGGGGCAAGTGGCTAGCTGACCGTGTGCCACAGCGCCCTGCGCTCTCGGTCTCTCTGCTTCTAAACTGGTCCGCCGTTTGAAAGCACCTGAATTCCACCTGTTTCAGATCGTGGTGAAACGGACCTGCGATGGATCAGACCACAGACCGTTTGCATCGTCTCACCGTGGTCAGATACATTCGCTGTTTGCTCCACCGATCTAGCGCAAGCTGCACGACCCACGCCGTTGTGACGGTGTGGGTCCATGGCACAAGTTGATGTCAGTCGTCTCAAGCCGAGGAGGTCGTCCGCCAGACTCGCTGGATCGGTCTGTCATCCTCAAACCTGAACCGCGGGAGGATTTCCTGAGCTCCCGCCAGACCTTTCTGGCTCGTTTTTCACCGCGTTGGTCGTCAGCCACCTTGGAACGGGTTATGCCGCGTCGGGTTTGACTGATCGGTCTTGGAGCGAGGTAGATCACCTCGCTCCAAAAGCCCCAAGCTGCACCTTCGATCCACCCTGCAGCTGCTCCGGGTGCAGCGGGCTTCGTGGCATCCTCCCGGACTGGCCCAGGCAGGCCCATGCTCCGCCAGCCCCGCATCTGTGCGTTCGAAGGCCCTCTGCCAGTGGGGAAGTATCAACCACTTCCGCATTTCATCCGAGCCCAAAGGAGTTACAGCAGCCAAAAGGTCTCGAACACCTTTGCGTCTTCTGCTGTCAGACTCTCAGTCATTTGCTCTGGGGAATGGCTTTGGGGTGGGTTAAGGGGGCACAGTTTTGAGTTTGAGAACTGTTTGCTCAAGTTGTGGATGTGGGCAGCTCAAGCATATCACTATGTGACCACATAGCCTGAGAGGTTGGAGATCCTGCGCATCCACTGCAAGAACATGAAGTTGGCCACTGATGTTAAGCTCGAGGACGGGACTGCTGTGACTCTTTACCTCCCCCCAAAAAAGACACCCGACCGCCAGAGATGTTGTGGTCGCTCAGTCACCACCACAGCGGCTGGGGGTTGCACACCCAACCGCCGACTGTCCCAACTGGATGCCGCATGATGCCGCGTTTGTCACGTGCTCTTGCAGCACTTGGCTGAGGAGGTGGCCTCCAACACGCACGGCTTCGTGGGTGCGGATCTGGCGCAGCTCTGCACCGAGGCGGCCTTGACCTGCATCCGCGGCTCGGATCGAGTGCAGGGCCAGGAGAGTGATGGCTGGTAGCGGTTTGAGCTGTTGAAGCTTGATGGGGCTTTGGGGGTCCAAAAGCTGAGGACTCAGATCTAGAGTGTCCTTTTCCTGCGGTGTGGCTTGGGTTCGACCTCAATTGGCCTGTGTTTGCCAGAGGTGCCGCCAGACTTTGAGGTGAGAAGATGGACTTGATCGACTTGGAGGAAGAGACCATCGATGCCGAGATCTTGGATTCCATGGCTGTTTCCCAGGCGCTGGGGGGGTAGGGACCCACCTCGCTGCTTTGTTGGGCATGACGTACAGCTACTAATATGCCCTTTGCTCCTAGTAGCTTCTTGTTCCGAGCAGTAAGGCCAGGTTCGCCCAAATTCGTCGCGTCCGATCGCTCCGTTCGTCGCGATGCCAGTTTTGCCCCCTACCGATGCTATCGGTCGACACTGTAGGGCCGGTCCGGCTTCGGTGTGCCGTCGCGCCGTCGCAGGAGCACTTCAAGTCCGCCATGGGCACGGTGAACCCCTCCTCACTTCGCGAGACGGTGCGGCGGGTCGGGAAGGATGGGGGGGCTCACCAAGCCGTGAGGGAAAGCATCCACACCCCAACATCAAGCATGCACTCCTGCTGATACACATGGAAGTGGAACACCTCAAGATTGTAAGGGAAGTATATAGTGTTTCCACTGACCATAGGGGCCATGTATGGACCATAGGGCCATCGGACCATCCTGTCTGGGTGTCCTGGCTGGACCCCCTTACGCCGTGCCAATCAGTTTCCACGACCAATCCGACTCCCTGAAGTCATCATGCTTACGTGGAGTGGCCACCTGTTGGTAGAGGATTTCATGGTCATCCCGGCCATGATATCCATTGCAGAGGGAGTGTAGCATTGAGCTATCACCCTGTGTTGGACCGGCCCAGGTGGTGGAGGTGCCGAACATCAAGTGGGACGACATCGGAGGTTTGGAGGACACGAAGCGATCTCTGCAGGAGACGATCCTGTATCCCATCGATCACCCTGAAAAGTTTGAGAAGTTCGGCATGCAGCCATCGAGGGGTGTGCTTTTCTATGGTCCTCCAGGATGTGGTAAGACGCTCTTGGCCAAAGCTGTGGCCTCCGAATGTTCTGCCAACTTCGTTAGCATCAAGGGCCCTGAGCTGTTGACAATGTGGTTTGGAGAGTCTGAGGCCAATGTTCGAGAGGTGTTTGACAAGGCAAGGGCCGCAGCACCTTGTGTGCTCTTCTTCGATGAGTTGGATTCCGTAGGTGTGGCACGAGGCTCTTCTCAAGGAGATGCTGGAGGTGCAGGTGATCGTGTCATGAATCAGCTCTTGACGGAGATCGATGGCGTAGGTGCCAAGAAGAACGTTTTCTTCATTGGTGCGACCAATCGTCCTGAACTCTTGGATGAAGCACTGCTTCGTCCTGGGCGTTTGGATCAGCTCATTTACATTCCCTTGCCCGATTTGCCAGCTAGACAAGGCATTTTGGAGGCAACCTTGAAAAAGTCACCGGTGGCGCCCAACGTGCCTTTGCCCTTCATTGCGCAGAAGACCGAGGGATTTAGTGGAGCTGACTTGGCAGAGCTGTGTCAGCGAGCGGCCAAAGCCGCAGTGCGCGATGCCATTGCAGCAGATGAGCTGCGAGCAGGCTTGAGCTGGGTTGTTTGAGGCTGTTTTCATGCCTGGCAGAGCTACTGTAGGGGTAGCTGCTGCCAACCAGAAGAAAATCACATGTGCCTTAAGGCCTAAGGACGTTCGGAGGCAGGTCTGTCCCTGCTGACAGGTGACGACGATGCCATGGACACCACCATGGGATCCGAGATCGGGCGCAAACACTTTGAGGAGGCGTTTGCGGGCGCGAGACGCTCAGTGGCCGCATCGGATCTTGCCAAGTATGACCAGTTCCGCAAGAAGTTCGACCCAATCTACATGAAGCTAGGCTGAGTGAGCTAGTTGGGTTCAAGGGACGTTCTGCAATAATTAATCCTTTTGAGAGCAGCATGTCTTTTTTTTCAGAGCGCTTGATTTCGTGTAATCACGGCCACCCAGGAACTCCAGTGCAGGTGGTGGCGGTGGAGTGATGATCAATTGGCCGGACGATGTGGGCATCGGGGGCGCGGCGGCTGCTGCGGATGATGACGACGACCTTTACGGTTGAGCCGGAAAGATGGAATGACGGAGTGTTATGTTCTCAGACGAAAGCGGACCAACCAAAGGTTGAGATCAAAAAGAGGCGTGGCTGTGGGCACTGAGGTCTGAACTAGGTAACTAGGGTTTAAGCCACGATGGGTTGCCTTTGATGAGAAATGGTTGCGTTGTTTTCGGCATGTTCAGAGTCCAACCTAGGGATTTTGTGGAAGAAGACGCTGGATGATGGCGCATTTGGCTCACAGCAATTCGACCGGTTCTCTTCCAGTGGCTTTTGTTCGCCTTGTCGCTGCACCCCGACGAGTGGAGTGGCAAGCTGGAGTGTGTGGCTGAATGGTTCAAGTTGGATCAGAAGGACTTGACAAGGGAGAGCTTCTAGGATTCTATCATCAGCAAAGGCAAGCACTTGTAGTTCAAAAAGGCTAACAACGAAAGTATCGATTTTGGCGGCCTGCATTTTGCACTCCCTGCATTTTGCACCCGAAAGCATGTACACAGCCACGATGATTTGTCGCTCTCTGGAATCAGATAGATCTCTTTTGTGACGTCAGTAGAATTGAGTCTTCCGCTGACATTAGACCAACTGGTTTTTAGAGCCAAAGCCGGAAGATGGTACATGCTCGATGAAGTTTTCTACATCACCAGCCGGTGTTTCGCATGATGAGGGCCTTGTTTCACTTCCACACTCTCTGGCCCTCGTGCTGTGATAGCAGCATGTGCCCGCGTGAGTGTTACGCCCGCGCCCGCGCAAGTGCCCGCGCGTCGAGCGTGCGCGTCGAGCGCCTAGGCCATGGCTGAAGCGAATGAAGCTCCAAGTGCTCCGCCAGCCGTGCCCGATGCGAAGCCACAGAAGAAACGCTCCCCGCACCCCGGCGTCCGTGGTGGGATTCCGGCTGGAGGACGGGCGCCGCGAAGGTCCCACGGGACTCGTTGGCCAACAAGCTTTGGAGGAGCCCCGAAGGTCCCACGGGCGCCATGGCTCCCAGCTTTGGGTCAATTCCGTGTCAAAGTCTCACACGGCCATTGGTTTCGTTCGTAGCGAACCTTGCTAGCAAAAACCACTTCCAACATCGCCCAAGACTTCAAGACGCCCCGTAACCAGAACCCAGAACCTCGCGGACGCGTGGCACGGACGTGGCGTATGAACGCGGTTCCTCGGTCGACAGTCGAGGAACCGATTAGTGGTGGAAGAAGCCATGAACGATGACAACTCCGTGATCTCGCTCTCCCAGGCGAAGATGGAGGCGGGACGAAGACAAGTCGTTCCTTTTCCCTTCGACGATTTCGTGGTGACCTGTGTGAAAGGATTGGGTGGTCAGGGTGCAGTGCTTAAGCGGACCAAAGCAAGAGGAGCTAGTTCTAGTGGACCAGCGAGCGAGCAAGGGTAGACATGGTCAGGACGGGTGGTCGAAGGGCTGTTGGCCAAAAGGGGCTGCCAAATGCGACGTGTTTGGTCGCTTGCGGTGTGCCGGATGGACACATGACACACCAAGAAGCATCCAACTTCTCTCACCTGATTTGATCACACCCGTGTGTCCAAGCACCGCACACGCCAAACCAGCAGCTTCTGACTAACGCCGGCTCGCGGCTCGCGGCTCGCGTGCGGTGCGTGATCGTGCTGGATGTGAGGAGCTGAATCTCTTTCGCGGAGACAATGTTCTCATCAAGGGAAAGAAGCGCAAGGACCGGGGGTGGGACCCCTACAATCCGTGGGACGAGTCGCGGGTCGAAAGCACGACGAGTGGCGGGTAAAAAGCCTTTGTCTTACAGCGATGGTCGCAGCGATTGGTCGCAGCATGCATCCCAAGACAAAGGAGCACATGAAAGTTCTCAAAAGAAAGAAACGGGAAGCGAAGGAAGCAGAGTGCAGACTTGGGCCTTATTTACGTGATTTATGTGATTCTATGCATTTTTGGGTTCGGGATGCGGTGGGTTTTAACATGTTATATAAGCATCGCTATGGCGGTAGGGACTTCTTGACCAGGACACGGTTTGCATTGTCCTGGCCGACGAGAACTTGGATGACAGCAAGATCCGCATGAACAAAGTGCCTGAGAGACCATGCGTGTATACCCCAAGTGAGGGGGATGGAAGATTGGACTTATGTGTTGTTGATGTATATATATGCCGATACATGCCGTTCATGTTTGGAATTCGCCGTCCGTGCTTCCGCGGTGATTCTCGTTTCATGCCTCCCGTCATCGTCATCAAGGTGGTGCGAAAGAACCTGCGCGTGCGCCTGGGCGACATCGTGTCCGTGCACGCCTGTGGGGACGTGCCCTACGGGAAGCGCATCCACGTGCTGCCGCTGGACGACACCATCGAGGGCATCACCGGGAACCTCTTCGACGCTTGGTCCACTTGGTGGTTATGGAGGGTCGTTTGGGGCACCTTTGTGGGAAATGGTCGGGTGCAAGCTGAGCCTCGAGTGCAATTGTTGATGTGGATCTGGTTGCATAGTCTAGTACATGTTCGACGCCCTACCAGAAGCACCTGCTGTGTGGATAGGTGGGACTGGCTGCATCGTTTAGTCGTATCTATGGTCAGTGGACCGCACTAAACAAGATCCGTCACCAACAAGAACTTCTCATCAAGCAGACAGATCAGATGGCAGATTTTCATCCACATTGCATGGCTTGCAGGGCTTGCAGGGCAGCTTTTGACTCTCTAGTTGAGTGCAAAAAGGCACAGAAAGTCTTTGAACTCAGGTAGCAACCCACCCCGAGACATTCCGGTGTGTCCTGCCAGAACAGGTGGGATCTCTTCTCTTTGGTCTTCCTTTTTCGCCGCGAGGACACCTACCTGAAGCCCTACTACCTGGAAGCCTACCGCCCGGCACGCCAGGGAGATTTGTTCCTGGTGCGCGGCGGGTTTCGGCCAGTGGAGTTCAAGGCGGGAGTCTGGATGTTTGTGCCGCATGCGGAGGAAGCAGTGCTGCATGTTTGTGTCACAGAGCCCGAAACTCATTTTTTGATTAATTCTTTTACCCCATCAATACTTGCTGCGCAAGCTGTACTGAGTGATGCTGGCCTTTAGGGGTGCCTACGGGTGTGACAGATTCTTTCATAGAACTTTGAGTTAGTGCCGGTTAGTTAGCACACCTTTGGCACGAAAAAGAACATGGGAGTCATGAACGCACCACCATGGAGTACCATGAGTCAAGAGCCAACCTGGAGTCACAAGACGGGGTGCTGAACTTGGAGGATAGGGGTCCCCATTATCCACTCGCTTGGGGACTAAACACCACCCCTTTGTGAATTCTGGAAGAATTTCAGACCTTGAGCCCGTCGCAGCTGGGAGAGCCTTCTACTGGCCGCCCCTTCGAAGCAAAGTCGCCCAGTCGGTCAGGTGGTGGGCGTGGACCCCGGGGAGTTCGTGATCGTGGCGCCGGACACGGTGATCCACTGCGAGGGCGAACCGGTGAAGCGCGAGGATGAGGAGCGCCTGGACGACGTGGGCTACGACGACATCGGCGGATGCAAGACGCTGAGCTTCCCGTTTTTTGGGGTACAAAGAAGGGGGAAAAGGGGAGAGAGAGGAAGGTTCCTTTTTGTCCTTCCTGGAGGAAGCAGGATGGGAGTGGGACTGAGAAGGAGTTATGGTCTGCGTGTGGCCATGGCCAGGGTTTTTCTATGCTGCTTTGTGGTGACCGGTGGTTTTTGGGTGCGCGCGTTGCACGGTCTTCTCGTCAGACTGAGCCAGGTGACACCAGACGCCAGGTGACAGACGTTCATGTTTTCCAACAGCCCAAGCGCAAGCGTTCTTGGAGTGGAAGAAAGACCCGACCCAGGCGTGACCCTTCATGGGTGACCTCTTGATCCTTCCCAAAGCCCTAACAAAAGACACGGGGCGGGGTCAATTTTTCCAAAGCACCCCGAGTGAGTAAGGCTCCTGTGGAAGGTGGTTCACTTCTCCAGTCGGACCGGTCGAGACACACCGCCCGACCATGTTCTGAAGAGACGCCCCCCGAGGAAGGCCATGGGACAGATCCGCGAGATGATCGAGCTGCCCTTGCGGCATCCCACCTTGCTGCTTGGTGAGGGGGCACATCGGGCCAGTCGCGTGGATGTCGGTCTTTGGCGTTGCGGGAGGTGTCGGTCTTGGCGGTCTAAGAGGCCGAGAAACACCTCAAAGAACACTTCCCATGACCTTCAAAGTGACCTCTTTGGAGTCTCTAAGTGACCTTGTACAGACCTAAGTGACCTCATCCTGGGATATCAAAGGGTCACGTACTGTTCAGGTCCTGGTCTATAAGTTTGTAAGTACACCAACGTTCCACATGTGGTCACTTCGGCCTTCGCAGCTAACACTTCTTGAGGTTCAAGACTTTGGGCGTGAAGCCACCACGTGGCGTGTTGCTCTATGGACCACCAGGCAGGGCTGTCGATGCCATCACGAGATGCGTTCTTTTTAGGCCATGAGAGACCCAAAGAGGTATAGACTCCAACCTGGTCAGTCACATGCATACGGTATACGGCATATAATTTCATGAAGCCTAACAGTCCAAGGACCAAGGACCAAGTTAAACCTATATAGTCCGAAAGACCTCATTGAGTACTGTGTTTGCACGACCGGTAGGGGTAATTTGTGAGTTCTGACAGGCTTTCAGTTTCCACACCGCGTCAGATGCTATAGCACGTGCCATTCCCATGTCCACATATTATACAATCTCTTTGTACCTGCAGCGTCTGCAGGCTTAGGACCAGCAACGTTTATTCTCCCTTCGACCCACGTTTTGGAGTGTCCCAGACGCTCATGGACCCTGCTAAGTAGGGGCCTCATATGGAGGGGTCCGGACAGTCAAATCTCAATGGTTTCGAGGGACCAAGGACTATTTGGAGCGTCTGGGATGTATGATTCCACGGCGCAGTTGCAAGCAAACAAACACTCCATCGACCGTTACACATTCATGTGGTCACATTGGTCGAGTGGAGGGCTTGCGAGGCTTGTGCTGTGCACCTGACAGGCAGTGGCAAGACGTTGATCGCACGGGCCATTGCGAACGAGACAGGTGCGGGCCAACTCGATTTCTGGATGTTCCCACCACCCAGATGCTCCAATCAGCCCTTTCCCGGTCCCTCAAAACCGGGATTTGTGACCTCCCAGATCTCTTCACGAAAGCTAGCCTTAGCTAGCTGGAGTTGCTCTTGCTTTAGCAAGTTAAGTGACGGGGTGGACGCACCTCAGAAACCTCAAATAATTGATTAAATCAATCTTATGGGGCCCCCCCCCCCCCCCCGCGGTTCGACTCCCCCCTGCGCGCGGTGAGCGGGACCACCAAGCAGCTGCAGCACACCAAGCATCTGCAGCGCCCAGCGCAGCAGCGGCAGCAGCAGCAGCAGCATACCCAACGCCGCGGCAGCAGCAGCCGCAGCAGACCACCCAGCGCCAGCAGCAGCAGCAGCAGACGACCCGGCGCCTGCAGAGCACCCAGCGCAGGAGCGCCCAGCGCAGCACCAGCAGCAGCACCAGCAGCAGACCACCGGAAGCCCGGCTAGCTTTCGTTCACCCCCTCTGGCCTCAAGTTGAGTCGATCCTGTGCGCGTCTCCTGTTTCCATCGGTCGTCCATCACGGCACATCGGCACAGGCGCCTTCTTCTTCCTGATCAACGGTCCAGAGATCATGTCGAAGATGGCGGGCGAGGCCGAGAGCAACCTGCGGAAGGCCTTCGAGGAAGCGGAGAGCCCTGGATCGGGAGGTTTCATGCCGTCCAGGGCGGTGACAGGAGGAAAGGGAGGGAAGTTGAAACCCAGGGTTGGGCCAGTGATCCATTTACGACCTGCGCCCCTTGTGATCGGATCACCAGATCGCCATCATGTATGTTTGGAGGCCCACGCGTGATCCGGGGTGTTTTTTTTTCCATGATCCCCTTCCACCCTGCCGGGTAGGGACTTCAAACCCTCCATCTCAAACGGACCTGCGGATCGCAGACCTCCGCTCGCACCGTCGAGGAAGAACTCCCCGGCCATCATCTTCATCGATGAGATCGACTCGATTGCGCCGAAGCGCGACAAGACCAGCGGAGAAGTGGCAGCTGGGCGAAGGGAAGGGTCCGGAGACCCGGTAGTAACAAGAAGCTAGTAGTAACAAGTGCATCGCTACAAGGAACAAGTGCCTTACTAGTAGTAACAAGAAGCTATTAGAAACAAGTGCCTTACTAGTAGTAACAATAAGAATTTAATTAGACTTGTAATTACTAGTAAGGCACTGTGAAGGGTGGAGAGGACTGAGGAGAGGCTTGTGGCTTGAAAACTGCCGGTGGAAGTCGGAGAGTCGAATGGGGGTGGAACGAGGTCTGTGGGCTTTGTCCTTTGTTTGTTCCGGGTTTTCCATCTGTTTGGTGCTAGATGACTCCTTCTCCGGGCTCCGAGGAGAAGCGCGTGGTGTCGCAGCTCTTGACCTTGATGGATGGTATCAAGGGCCGTGGCCAGGCCAAGGGCGGTGGCGTTTGGCAAAGCAGTCCAAGGATGTGAAGGTGAAAAGCTGCCAGGAGAGAGAGAGGGCGAGAGGGGGTGAGGGAGGGAGAACCCGCTGGAGATCCACGGCCTGTTTGATCAGCATTTCATATTTGACCCCCCATCTCACGTGACTCGTCTGACGAACTCCCCCCCCGGTGGAGTACCACCTCTCATCCGAACCGCTGGCGCAGTTGCCGCTCCCCGAAGTGGGCCGAGCTGCAGGTGGTGGTCATCGCGGCCACGAACCGCCCGAACACCATTGATGCAGCGCTGCGCCGCTTCGGGCGCTTTGACCGAGAGCTGGACATTGGCGTGCCGGACGACAACGGCAGGTGGGGTGGGCCCGGGGTGGATGAAGAAGGTGTTTTCGGTTTTTCTTGGGGGGAATGGCTTTGAAGGGCTTTTCAGATGTGGCCAGCTCAAGCGTGGCATTTGGTCCGAGCAACTGCACCCGCAGGTTGGAGATTTTGCGCATCCACTGCAAGAACATGAAGTTGGCCACTGATGTTAAGCTCGAGGACGGGACTGCTGTGACTCTTTACCTCCCCCCAAAAAAGATACCCGACAGCCAGAGATGTTGTGGTCGCTCAATCACCACCACAGCGGCTGGGTCGGCGCACCCAACCGCCGACCGTCCCAACTGGATGCCGCATTTGTCACGTGCTCTTGCGTTTTGGCTGAGGAGGTGGCCTCCAACACGCACGGCTTCGTGGGTGCGGATCTGGCGCAGCTCTGCACCGAGGCGGCCTTGACCTGCATCCGTGGCTTGGTTCGACAGCCGGAACGGGGCGGGGGGGGAGGCGAATGTGGGGAATGGCTGGGGAAATGTGACTCAATTCAGATTTCCTGATTTAATGAGTTTCTAGGGCCTAGAGTCAACTTTCACATGATGTCACCATAGAAGATCAACATCTGCTAAGTGATAAGTGTGAGGAGAGTGCGCCGTTTTTCTGTCAGCTTGGTGGTCCTAGATGGAGCCAGACTTTGAGGTGAGAAGATGGACTTGATCGACTTGGAGGAAGAGACCATCGATGCCGAGATCCTGGATTCCATGGCCGTTTCCCAGGACCGGAATTCACTTCACCTCCGGAGTGCAGGGTGCAGGGCGGGTGCCACTTTTTCTATGCGCCGCTGCATGGTTCGGGGGGGTCTTGGGGGGGACGTCGTGGTTTCTGGTGATCCTGAACCGCAAGACGAACTGAACCTGAACCGACACAGCGCTGTTTCTGGGATGCTCTTCCACTTGGGCAGCCTACGTTGACGCCCGTGGTCGGGTCGCCAGGAGCATTTCAAGTCGGCCATGGGCACGGTGAACCCGTCCTCCCTGCGCGAGACCGTGCCTTAGAGGAGATGGGAGGGGCGTCCGTGTCGCAAGGGCGGTGAAGGGAGGGGTGCAGGTGTCGCACCCCGGTTTGGGCCGGTTTGGGACTTCTTCCCGTTGGCGGGTGAGAAGGCTTCGCACACCCTGGTGGGTTGGGCTCTGGTAGGTGCATTGACCTAGCATTGAGCTATCACCCTCCGGATCTCTCAACGGTTCACTGCCAAGCTCTGGACCGGCCCAGGTGGTGGAGGTGCCGAACATCAAGTGGGACGACATCGGAGGTTTGGAGGACACGAAGCGATCTCTGCAGGAGACGATCCTGTATCCCATCGATCACCCTGAGAAGTTTGAGAAGTTCGGCATGCAGCCATCGAGAGGTGTGCTTTTCTATGGTCCTCCAGGATGTGGTAAGACGCTCTTGGCCAAAGCTGTGGCCTCCGAATGTTCTGCCAACTTCGTTAGCATCAAGGGCCCTGAGCTGTTGACAATGTGGTTTGGAGAGTCTGAGGCCAATGTTCGAGAGGTGTTTGACAAGGCAAGGGCCGCAGCACCTTGTGTGCTCTTCTTCGATGAGTTGGATTCCGTAGGTGTGGCACGCGGCTCTTCTCAAGGAGATGCTGGAGGTGCAGGTGATCGTGTCATGAATCAGCTCTTGACGGAGATCGATGGCGTAGGTGCTAAGAAGAACGTTTTCTTCATTGGTGCGACCAATCGTCCTGAACTCTTGGATGAAGCACTGCTTCGTCCTGGGCGTTTGGATCAGCTCATTTACATTCCCTTGCCCGATTTGCCAGCTAGACAAGGCATTTTGGAGGCAACCTTGAAAAAGTCACCGGTGGCGCCCAACGTGCCTTTGCCCTTCATTGCGCAGAAGACCGAGGGATTTAGTGGAGCTGACTTGGCAGAGCTGTGTCAGCGAGCGGCCAAAGCCGCAGTGCGCGATGCCATTGCAGCAGATGAGCTGCGAGCAGGCTTGAGCTGGGTTGTTTGGGGCTGTTTTCATGCCTGGCAGAGCTGGGGGTAGCTGCTGCCAACCAGAAGAAAATCACATGTGCCTTAAGGCCTAAGGACGTTCGGAGGCAGGTCTGTCCCTGCTGACAGGTGACGACGATGCCATGGACACCACCATGGGATCCGAGATCGGGCGCAAACACTTTGAGGAGGCGTTTGCGGGCGCGAGACGCTCAGTGGCCGCATCGGATCTTGCCAAGTATGACCAGTTCCGCAAGAAGTTCGACCCAATCTACATGAAGCTAGGCTGAGATTGGTTGGTTGCTTCAGGCATGTCTTGTTAAAAAAAATAATAGCGCTTTTCAGGCATCTCTTTGTCACAGCGCTGAAGCCAAGGAACTCCAGTGCAGGTGGTGGCGGTGGAGTAATGATCAACTGGCCGGACGATGTGGGCATCGGGGGCGCGGCGGCCGCTGCGGATGATGACGACGACCTTTACGGTTGAGCTTGGCCTAGGTGCTTTAGCTCGCGATGTAGCGAAGTTTCGTTCTTTGAAAGGGCCAAAAATCCCCGACAATTCAAGGCCAATTGCTTCCGCCCAGAGCTAATTGAACAGGCTTCGATGGGGGAGCGGGGCGCCGCATGAGTCTCAACACCTGGATTTCACGGAAAACAGCGATGTGCGACGCGTCCGGCAATGATGCGCACGGCAAAGGTTTCGTCAATCCTGTGACCTACATGGCCCGGGACACGTGCCTGTTGATCTAGAAGACTTGACTGGACTTAGCAACCCCCACCAAAGACCTTTAGATACAAAAAAGCATCCCTATAGGCCCGCCTAGACCCCGGAAGCTTTTCTTGGGTTGTAGACGCTCCCCTCCACTCGACTCGCTCCACTTCATCCAGTCCAGGACCCCTCGTGGACTGTGCGCTTGGCCTCGGCCGAAGCGCTGGCGACTTTGAGCTGTCAGATCCGACCCTTCCTCCAATGCCTGGCGCTCCACCGGAAGGGGGAGGACGGAAAAGACAGAAAAGGATCAGAACACGGTGGATGAACAGAACCAGGACAAGGATCGGAACCCAAAAACATCCGTCGAGATCGTTGAAAACTGGAGAAGCTTTGAGAGAACTTTCCATCCAGAAAGGGCTCAAGATGACTCTCATGGCCGGGCGGAACCTCGCCCCAACGGCGGCCGGAACCTCGCGCCCCTTCGACGAAGCATCGAGGCCTTCGAAAACATCGGAAGTCTGAGAATGAAGAGCTGAAGGCAGAGCTGGATTGTCATGCGAGTTGGACCTAGTTGGGCACCTGGTGGGAATTGGTGCGGGTTACGATCACGTGCTGCGGGTGGAAACCTAAACATTTTTTGAGCAATGGCGCCCGCGTCTAGTATGCCGAAAGCATACTTGTTGTTGTACAGTTTACTTAGGGGTAGTGACGAGGCTGTGAAAGAGAGCGTTCAGCGTTCTTGCTTCCACCCCACAATCCGGGCCCTCAAACACATAGTAGGGCATTGAGGGTGCTGAGCCCTGCCATGGAGGGCCCCTGCCAGTATGGAGGGCCGCTCCGACTCCCGATTTTCCGGTCGCAGGCCGCAGCTCAGAAGTTCTGGCAGACCGCGGATGTGGGCAAGGCGCAGACCGTGCAGCAGTTGCAGATTTGGGCAGATCAAGTTTTGGTGCGTTCCACAACCCCACGGGGAAGGGGTGGTCAATGAACACCTCTGAACATCTAAGGGGCTATTAGACACCCGACACCCCTTCGGGGACCCTGGTTTGGACTCTTTTTTCCAAATTTCTCACTCTGGACCTGGCCTCATGCTCCAAGACTAGATGCTTATCCCGTGGCACCGTAGGCTCCTGCAGCCCCTTTATAACGCTTTTATTTGTGCAAAAGCCGCCCACGGATGCATTGGATTCTTAGACTTCATACTGTATGTGATATGTGTGATATATATATATATAATCCTCGATGCTCACAGCGTCAGGTGGCCTAAGGTGGAGCTGGGACTGTTTCTTTGCACTTTTTGTTGTTGAGCTGGACTGACCCAAAAGCCCCAAGATCAGCTCAAGCAAGCACCAACTCCGGTCTACTGGTTGATTACTTTTTGGAATTGGGCAAGTTTCTTGGGCTGTTTCTTGCATGTTCTTGAACCAAATCCTGGGGACCAAGCACAGTGGACCGAGACAGGTTGCCGTACCTGCTGCACCATGATCAGATGGTACTAGCCCGAGGTGGCAGGATTGTAGGTCGAGCATGGGCTTATAAACAACTTTGATTCCTCCAACTGAGAACTTCTGGTTCTTGCAAAGCATCACGTCGATATATCGATCCTCCTGAAGTTCTCCTGGAACCCTGAGGCGCTGTGGAGCGCTTTCGGAGAAACATCAGCAACTTAAGTTCGTTCTACCTCGACCCCGCCGACCTTCCTCATGTTGACCACATCTCAGAAAAGTACTGGTCCACTGGAAGCCACCCGTCGACCTGGCGCCAGGTCTTCACCCACGCCCGCGTCATGTCGGAGAGCGCCGTGAAGACGCTGCGGGTGGGGCGGCCCACCGCGCCGCCGATCGCGGATCGGCGGACCGATCGGCTGGTGACGCTTTGAGTCAGAGCTTTGGGGCAAGATGTGTTATTTTTGGCGGTTTGTTTCTTGTTTTTGCTTGAACTCCTCTCCCGGAGCTTTGGAGGAAGAACTTTGGTGAAACAGTTCGGGAATCTGTTGGAAAGAACGTGGATCTGAATCTCAATCGGTTTTGAGGTGTAAATGCCAGAGGCACCACACAAAGATCAGAGTGTGCTTTCTGCAACAACCAAGATGTGCAGAAACAAGAACGTGCTTCCCACTTGCGGAAGCAAGGCAGATATATATATATATATATATTATATGCAACATTATGCAACATAAATTATATTTTTTTTCTTGTGCCCAAGCAGGCGTCCTACTCAAGGCTCTCTGGGCAACGTTGGAAATCAGCGGCGGCCGATGCTTTACAATTGTTCACATGTGATGCCACAAAGCGTCCTCCACGGGGTCAGGGCATCCTCCACAACGCCAAGCCAGGCACGATTGGTCGAGTCGTCCCACCTGTGTGGCCAAGGGCTGTAGCCGACATGAAACCGCCATGACAGCCATGGGAAGGGGGCTTAAAGATATGCGAGTGACAGGCGAATGTCGATAGGGTGGCACCGGCTATACAGCTTCAGGGTACCAGAAGAACAATGAAGAACATATGCATAATTTTAGATCATGGATTTTCATGGGCTTTACCATTGGCGCTTCAAGTTCTATGACTTTCTATGACCTATGATTCCACCGGCCTCGCTCCCCGTACCGTCCTTGGTCTCTTTGCGCCGCTGGTCCCGCCCCACCGGCCTCACGGCAGCGTCGTCGGTTCCCAGCAGCGACGTTCCGGGCAGAAGCTCATGGGACTTTTTGGCCGGAGGGTCTTGGGCTGCGTGCAGATTCCCAGCGACGTGACACTGGAGGACGTGACACTGCAGATGCGCCTTCTTTTCATGAAAGATCATGAAAGAATTGATGGAGAAAGAGCCAGCTGGAGTCGCATCCACTCACTGGATGGGACTAAGAAGCCATTCCGTGGGATTTGCTGGAGTGATGTAAGAATTTTTAGTTTTCAGCTATCCTCCGCAAGGTTTTGCGAAAAGCATCCCGGGAAATCCGCCTGTTTGGAACTGCTCCGTTTTTTTCCCTATACTCGTTGATCAAGCGGGATGAACTATCCGACAGAGAATGCCTTCATCACGTTTCTGCCTTGTGCAGGGTGTTTTCCCCTTGGCGGATCTGTTGCGGAAGTGTTGCGCACCACTCGCCAGACCACGGAAGCCTGTCGAAAGGTAGCACCAACTCGTTCCATGGCCGGCCTCGTGCCGCGCGAAGAAGACGCCCGGGCGTGGCGACGCGCGAGAAAGGGGGGGGCGTCAGGATGAAGCGCCACCCTTTGCGGAGAAAATGGGTGTGGACCTTGAGATGGCGAAGGCACCTTCAGCAGGGGGTGGAGCGCCGCCATGCGGTCCTTTCAGGCACCTGACGAGCGTTTCTTCGTAGGGAGTTCGGGCAAAGAAGGTTTCCCGGTCGGTCATTTTTCGCGATTCCTTCTTCTAAAGCCTAAGAGTGGCCCTAAAAGCGATGCAGTTGCAGGTACGGGTCAGGTGTCGCAGCGTAGGCCAATAGATTCCCAGTCTGTGGAACGGACGTTCGTGTCCGGGATGGGTCGGACGTCCAGTGCCTAGGCAAGGCAAGAGTAAGCCTGATATAAGTTTATTATAAGTCTATTCATGTCTATTCTAAGTTGATGATATCAGCGCCAGTTAGGCAGCCATCAAGCGATACTATGCGGCACTGTTCCTAGTTGGCGGCTGCGGGGGTTCCACACTCATCACTCCCTTAGGTTTCGGGGTCTGTGAAACGGTTTAGGGACCCATGCTGGTGCAATGAAATCTCCACCATTTTTTCCTCGAAAAGTAGGCGTTGGCTCCCCGGAGTTTCTGATCCATCTTCCTTTTGCTGTTGAGGTCACCTTCGACTCGGAGGACATTTGCGCAGGGACCTACCTGCGCGCCATGCACAGGGAGGAGCTCACCAAGGGTGCCAAGCTCCTAGCGCTTGCAGCAGCATCTTGGCGCTCCAAAACAGCTTCCCCGTGTGTGGGGTGCTGCCGTGATGATGATGATGATGATGATGATGATGATGATGATGATGGTGCAAGGGGATGGAAGGATTGGGCGAAGTCATACAGACTCATCCATAGACGGTTTTGAAATTTTCAGGCTTCCAACGGTTGAAGCAATTTTCAGGATGACTCGCGCGTGCAAATTCACCCGCGTAGGCCAGCCGAGGGCGGAGCTGCGATATCCTCGGCTTGTCCTGCACCTCATTTTCCTTCACGTTAGGTGCCGGCCTTGGCTTGCGCGAGAGTTTGCGCAATAGTGTCGAGCGGAAACCAGCAAACATTCCGCTTCGCCACTTCAGGCTCAGCCAAAGTCCGCGAGCAAATCAGTGCAGGCTGGACATTTGTTACATGTGTACGGTGTTGTGGTTAAGGGGGTTTGTTCAAGAAGTGAGAAAGCGGATGTTGTGACAGAATACCTGAAGAGTGAGAGCAGGAACCAGCTTGCCCGCAAGAAAACACTGCCAGAGGCAGTTTCGAAGCCTCCAATAGGGAGACACAACTCCGGCAGCTGCAAGGGCTCAGTTCAGCGACTCCATCCCTTTCTGTTCAGCCTCCCCAGTGTGACCGCCGTCCTTCCAGGCTATCCGGGTGTGCCAGTCACCGACATGGCCACCGCGCAGCTGGAGGCGCTGAAAGCGCTGAAGGCGCCGGTTCGGGGCGTTTCGGAAGACATGTGCACGATGCGAAGTTGGAGCAGAGGAACGAAAAAGGAGGACACTATGACATTATGCACAAAATTGAGAAGACAGTTTGGGATTTCCTGACTGCTCACGATCCGATGTGTGCGGTCGCACCGTCGGACCCTCGACGTTTGCGACGGGGTCGAAGTGTCCCAGGCGCAGCGGGTGGCTCTTCTGACGCCCTACATCGAGGAGCTCAGCCGTGCGAACGCTGAGATGTTGGAGACCATGGGCCAAGTCCAAGTGGTCAACAGGCGCCGCGTCGCCCGAAAGCTGGTCGCCGAGAACGAGCGACCCCCCTATTCGCGCGCATGTCGAGTGGCAGCCAAGCGAAGAGAGCAGGAGAGAGACAGAGAGAGAGAGAGAGAGAGAGCGAGGAACTGGAAGGTGTTTGTCCAGTCCCTTTTCCGAAGAACCAGTGTCAAGGGTGCTGAGGTTGGGGATGAGTTCCAGAAATGGCTCATGGTTATGTAGTTTCTTGGGCGAGTTTGGTGACATCTTCGCGTGGTCAGGGTCTTGGGATCCCGCAGTGGCAGGTTGACCATGAACCTCCCCCGTGACGAGCTCACCAGCGCTGTACCACCAGCAGAGATTGTGGCTTGAACGTGCGAGCGCTACCAGCACCGGGCCGGCAGGGTTGCCGGACTTTCGGGTGGTTCTTTCATGTTCGAAGAAGCAAGAGGCACCCGTAAAACGGCACTGGACAGACTTGCCAAGAAGTGTTTTTTGGGATGAGCATCCTTTAGGTTCTGCTGACTAGTGACTAGCTTGGAGGTGGTTTCTTTGGGACGATGGGCCCCTCTCAACTCGATGGACCGAGAGCACCACCCAACACCCAACCCAACACCTCCGCCCCTCGTCCCCCGAGGCCGAGTGGGCGGTGCGCGTGGATCGGCCGGAGGCGGATGTGGTGGTGATCGGCTGCAGCGGCTTCCGGGCATGTCAGCCGGACTTCCTGGACCCGCTGGAGGAGGGCAGGGAGACAGGGGGGTGTTCAGGTGAGGTGGGGAGAAGACATGTATCGACCCAAAGACCAGAAAGTAGGGGAGCAGATTGGATGTGACATGCCCGATTCATTGGACTGTGAGTGGAAGATTCTTCCTAGGTGTTGGAGGGGTTTCTTGGGTGTAGAGTCCGAAGACGCATGGACGAAGCCTGCGGCAATCTTGCTGCCGCCTGACATGCGGGATGCTCCAGGAGTGATGGTTTTGACACAATCCCTGGCGATTCTTGAAACTTGTTTGACTTGTTTTTGGTGGTGCCCAGTTTTTTGGATAGGAGGGTCGTTGACAAAGAGCTCTTTTCATTCTTTTTCCTCTTCCCGTGTTTGGGGATGCCTCTCTTCTTCGCACGTTTTGCCGGTCGGAAGTTTGCATCTCCAGAACCTCAGGCTTGCCGGCAACGTCAAGCTGAAAATCGTAACTGCCAGATAGATTTACATCATAATATCACTGCCGTAAATAGTCGAGTACACAATTCATACATAGACTTGCTAAATAGTATCAAGACCATCTGCACTGCACATGGCTTACCATTTTGCCGGACGGCCATCGACCCAGTGGTTTGGTTGGCGCCGCGGTGTCACCGGCGGAGGCCCGGCTGGGAAAGCCGGTGGTGACCTCAACCCAAGCGTTTCTGTGGCACATGGACGCTTGGTGGCTGGTGGCTGGGTGACACACAGACCTCAGAAGACTCCAACCAACTGAGAATGTCAGGGAATATGTATAGCTGACAGCCTTTTCTTTGGGATTGCCACACTTCTGCCGGGTACTTCTGACAGACCCCAATTTTGCTGTCTCTTTTCAGCTGCAGCCGAGAGCTTTCTTTCTTTCGTTCTATCTGGACCCTTCGAAAAGGCCAAACACTCGACCTTTGTCACGAACCACCAGACCACGCCACGCATGACCCCCTGGAGCGGCCGGGAGCCCCACCAAGAACCTCCCGAGGGAAGGAGCCACCCAGCACCCTCCGTGTGGCCGTCCGTGTCCACGAAGCCTTGGGCCTTCACTTGGGCCGTCCCTGTGGCACCGAGGCGCGCCGGGCGGGTGCTGAGGAGAAGATCGAGGGCTACGGCACCTTGTTGTCGAAGCACTGAGGCCGCCCCGGTGGTGGCCCGCTTCGTCCGCGGGGTGGAACAGTGGACGAGGAGAAGACGAAGACGGTGGGGGGTGGGACCAAAAGGAGGAGGGGAATGGGTGCTGGAAAGAAGGGAATGGAGCTGAAGCACTTCTTAGTGCAACTCAGCTTATACTAGCCAGGGTCGCTAGTGTTGCAGCGTAGCACCACGCACCCATTTTTCTTGACTTTTGCCATGCAAGATGTCTTTAATCCTGTGCCAGGAGCGCAATTTCAGCGGGACAGGGGCAGTGATGAGATGATGTTTGTGATCGCCACGGCGGCCGGAAGAGCTCCTGTTCTTCCATGGGCAAGCAGCGCAGCCTGTGGCCCAGCTCAGCTCTTGCTAGGAACTCCGTGGTCGGCACTAGAGCCACCTGGAGTGTACAGACGGAATCTCATAAGACTGGAAACGTCATCCACATACCGCAGGAGGATAGTCATTTGCATGTTTACCTATCTTTGCTACTTGCTTCCAACGTCTGAGCAGTTAATGATTCTCCAGCCGGAAAGGCTCAGGCATGCGCTGCGCCACGCACGAGAGGATGTTGTTTTTTGGGCAAAATCCTTGTAAGGAAAGTGCAAGCCGAAGTGGAGCAGCGTGGAAGGTGAAAAAAGGTGCATGTCCAGCTGGAAGCACTGGCGGGCGACCTTGGATTCCAGCATGTCACGCTGATGGCAGGTGGATTCACCTGCGGTTACAGTATCTTACGGCCTCCATTCGTATCACCTCAATGGCCCAATGGCAGTGCTCCTCGGTCTCCCATGCCAGACTCCACCAACGGGGCAGGGCTTCGCGTGGGCGGCAGTGCCAGGTCAGTTCAAGGAGACGGAGAAGCAGTTCATCCGCAGCGTGAGCCAGGCGGCCATCAGCCGCTTGACGGAGGCGCGCGCGCGGACGAGGAGCGAGCAATCCAGTCTTTGGGCCTGGCCCAGGTGGTGGAAACAGGGAGGCACAATGAGGCATGAAAAGAGGCACTTGTGAAGGAATATCATGATTCCTAGAATTGGCTGGGAGGGAGTCTGTAGGGTCTTGGGATGATTGTGTGGCGCCGTTGGAGCATGTTGGAACCAGTTAACCCATGAAACCAGTCGCCTCCGTAACGACCGGATGGATGCCAGGCTGGTGTGATCGAGAAGCCGTGCCCTGGATGATGGCATCGTTTAGTGCTGCTTTCTGCGGAAGGTTGGTGCGATGGTTTGAATTCCAATGCTTACGACCTGCAACGGCTAAAGTGATGAGTGTGACCAGCTTCAAAGCATTTCAAAGCATCCACTTCCCCAAGAACGAGGTCCCCAATTCTAGGCGGCACGTCTTTTTCGCGGACTGCGCCGCCTTCGACAGCGCAGATCGAAGCCTCAGCGCCTTCGCCGTGTTGAGGCAACATCATGGCCACCATCCTGGAAGGCGCAGTTGGTCACCATGGCCCCTGAAGGGGTTGATCAAATCTGGAGCATTCCAGCGATTCGGTGGGTCAGAACCCGAACGTTCGACTATCCTATCGGTACTCCTGGTGACGGGTCCTAGTTCAGGTCACTGGATACCTCTGTAGGTTGATCACACACACGGTCACGAACTGGAACCCTGTTCCGCAGCTTGACCTGCGTAGGTCAACTGCTTGGTTGACCCACAGAACTTGGTGTTCTTCTTTCAGGTCGTGGTCTTTCCTTTTTTTGTAGATGGTATCTTTAGCACACATGACTCACATGAAACCATGGTGAATGCTGCTGATCGAAGCTCTTTCACCTGGTATCTCTACCTACCCCTATCTACCTAATGATTGACATGGCATGCCCCCCAAATCCTTCACATCAGGCTGGTCCAGATGAAGGACTGAAGCTTGGAGGCGCCACGGAACCGGTGCGGGGCCTCTTCAGGAGTCGAGTACGCGTTGCTGCCCATCAGCCATTCTGCCACCTAAGACTTCACCTAAGGAGGCGCCTATAAGAGGCGAGTTCGGGCTCTAAGAAGGGGGGAAGCTTCTTTCCCCTCTGTAGAGGCTGGTGCTCGGAGCCCCCCCCTCATGCTTGCCATGTCGTGTGGCTTAGCGGGCGCGTTGCTTCCTTTCACTCTCAGATAGGTCCCAGAAAGGGTTGAAGGAACCCTAAATATGACTCTCCCATGCTTAGCCAAACTTACCCCGTGTAGGGCGCCAAAACCTGGTCACTGAACCTCTCTTGACGGAACGGCCCACTCGCATCGAACACGGTTCAACACGGCCAGGCCGCCCCGTGGCTCCGCACCGGGCTCCGGGCGTCGGTCGTCCTCCTGAAGGGAGGGGACCGGACGCGTCGAGCTGGTCTCACCGAAAGACCCCGAGGGCTTTACCGCTCCCGCGCGGCGCAGCAGGGGGAGCGGTGGAGCTGCGGTGGAGCCTCCGCTGCGGCATCCTTCTGGTCGGTTAAAGCCACGAGAAAAACTCGGCGATCTCAGAAGAACTGGTCGGTGGCTCTTCCCGAAGTTTCGGGGCTCAAGACTCCGATGGGGAAAAGGAAGACAGCAACAGCAGAGGACTCACTGAGGAAAAGCACGTCGATCGAGAGAGAGAGAGAGAGAGAGAGAGATGCTGGCGGGCAATCCTGGCGATCCGGGAGCCCTGCAGGTTTCTATGGGTGCCGAGGTCTTTTTTTGGGTGGGCTGCTGATCAAGGATAGGGGTTTTGCACTTGGACAGCTGCAACCTGGTGCTTCAGGCTCTCCCAAACACCTCTAGGACCCAGGAGGAGATGATCTGAACATCGGCCAGGAACGCTCCGCGCCACGGCTCTTCACGGCTCCAGCGGCGGAGATCCCCGGCCGCGGCGGCGTCGTCGTCGTCCCTTTCCGCGGCCGCCGCATGCCTCCCGCGGGATACCGGGTTCTGGAGCGTTCGGAGCGCGAGACGGAAAGCCCCGAAGGCGGCGGCCGTGGGCCTTGGGCCAACTTCGGAAGTCAGGGGATCGAGGAATCGAGGAAGTCAGCGCCTGGGTGCTGTTGTTTTTTTCTTGGAGCAACTGTAGTGCTTGGCCTTGGGTGCTCACATGCAGCACATGCAGTTGGGAGACGAAGCGTGACAGATCAGACTTGAGATCCCCATGGCATCATGGATCCCCCCGAGTTTTCGTCGTCCATTTCAGGGGCCGAGCCTCTCCTGCGGAGCCAGAGCAAGATCTCAGAGAAGGAGGACCTCGGCAGCTGCGCGGAGAAGATGGGAGAACCATCCACCAGCACCTTCCTTGTTAGGTCCCCTAGGCCCTAGCCTTCAAAGGCCATTAATAAGAACACACTTACCTGGCTTCATGTTTGTAGTGTAGAATGACTAAACTGCTTAGTAAACCAATGGTTCTTTGGTAAGGATGGTGGATCTCCACATCCCGACCTCGTCGATGTCGGTCCGAGAAAGGGGGCTCCAACCTCGGCTGAACATTGAAGAACACCAGCAGAGGTGGGTCAGAACCCGAACTAGACTATCCTATAGGTACCCCTGTAGGGTCCTAGTTCAGGTCACTTAACCTCTGTAGGAATGGTTGGTTTACTCAGGGAATTGAGGGAATGAACTGCCCCCTGTAGCCTCAGGTTCTACTATTCCCACCCCTATTCCTTGCTTTCGTCGCACCAGTCAGTTATGTTAGCGTTTGCTTTTGCTGATCGGGTGATTCCTTTCCTTGTCCTGGTCATTTCCCGGAAACGGGGGTAAGATGGTGAATTATATTTATTATATTGAATTCCTTTCCGGCTCCTTCAACAAATCGAAGTTGACGAACCAAACCTGGGGCATCCCTTGACGCTTCGTGGGATGTTTGTTTGCGGCTTGGTGATGTCAAGATTGCAACGAGAACATCTGCACCAGGAACGGCCGCTTCTTTTTCACCCTCCACGACCTTCAAAGGCATCTGACCTTTCTCCCCCAAAAAAACATATCAACTAACAAAACCATCGAACATCATCTAACACCCTCCACCTACAGGCTTCAGCCCGTGAAACTGAACGTCCCGGGCCGTTTCCCAACAACCGAGCCGTGCTCCCAACGGTGCCAAGCACGCCACGTGAAGCCACGTGCCCAAGCCACGTGAAGCCACGTGAAGACGCGACCAGGAGGAGCAGGCGGTGACCCAATGGCTCCTTGATGCCACCGATGTCCAGGCGAGACCTGAACACCTCGAAGCTCTGCTGATTCGGCCCACGTCATGGACGAAAACACGAGGCTTTCAGGGTTCTTCAAGTGGGGAGCTCAGTATCAGTAGCATAAACATACCCTAAGTCCAAAGACTATATTTTGACCGACTGATGCAAAGGATATTCCTTCTCGGGTGACCTAAAGACCATTCTTTTTATAGTCTTTGACTCCCAGGGTATATATAACAATGAACGATGATAAAAAGCAAAGCAAATAATTACACCTGGACCTTCAAAAGGGTGTCCTGTCTGGAGACCCCTAGGTAGTGTAGGGCAGGGGCTTCCAGCCAGGTGACCCCTTTGAAGGTGCTGGTATATACTAAGCTACCAAGGCCCCGGTTCGGGATGTCTAACACTAGCCCCGAAAAGGACGGACAAGAGGATTTTCGCGGCGTCCATGAACCCCTTCTTGTGGGGGTTTGGTAGGTATGTGCATTTAAAGAGAGAGGCTCCCTAGGCCCGGGGGTGTTGCGGGGCCCATTCTTGTTCCTGCTCCTTTCTACTCCAACATGGTTAGACAGAGAGAAGATTCCCTTTTCGACCCCTTCCAAAGGGTACAACGGTGACCATGACGGTCAGCGAGTGCTTGGGGCGACGAGGTGCGAAAACGGAGAAGCTCATGGGCCATGGGTGATTTGATGATGGGGAGCTGTGTGTCAGACAGATGTGGGGACCCAATGTATCGCTGAGCCTCCCAACCACTCACAAAAACATCATGAAGGCTTCGGCCACGGTACTGCGAGCAAACTGGAGGATCCAGCCGATCCAGCATTTCGCTGGAACAATGGATCAGCCGATCCAAAAGGGACCTCTTCCTTTAGAGGTATGCTGGTATGCTGGGGATGCTGGTTAAAGGATGCGACGCGAAATGACCACCTAATCTAGACTCTTGATTATATTTTCACCCCTCCAAGGCTTGAAGAGGTTCTTCAATCCATGTCCTGAGGGGGGAGGTAAAAATATCATCAAGAGTCTACATTTTATAGTCCAAATGCACCCTGACGGCCCGACAGCAAACAAATTCTACTTTGAAGGATCCGAATATCAACTTTCCTCCTTCACCTACACTCTGACTCACTAACATGGAAGTGGACGGCATGGTCCCTTGGAAGACTCCTTTCCTTTACAACACCGCGGGGTTTTCACTCCAGTTCCATGTGACGTGTTCGTCGGAGTGTAGGGCTTCGCTGGACCAGGTGTTTCAATTGCTGGGCAAGTTGGCCACGGCCCGGCCGGGGCTCATCGAACGGGTGGCCGCCGGGCACACCCAGCGCCGCGGGGGCACGCGATGTCGACCGGGGCTTCTGGAAGACCTCAGGCGGATGATCTATGAAGAGCTCACATGGCATGTGCAAGAGACGACCTCAAGATACAAGTCTTTTTGGGCATCAAGATGCAAGCTGGTCATGTGGATGGACTGGCCAAAGAAGTGCTTCTCCGAGTCCGTTGACGTCACTCCGAGTCTCGCATCTCTCCACTGAGGCGCTCGAGAAGAACTTGAGTGCCACGCCCAAGGAGCTCAAATCGTGCGGCCACTCAGAAGGGCGAACGGGGGGCCGGTTCACTTGCACCCTTATGATCCCTTATGTGCCATGATATGCCATGCAACTCGGACTTCCAACCTCTTTGGAGGTGTCACTTGATTAGGAATTGGAAGGACTCTAACTCCAGATCCACTTCACGTCCCACATCACTTGGTGACATGGTGCCCGCCAGGGTGCGGGCGGAGCAGCTGAAGGGCGACGTGCCGCTGGGCTCGCCGCGCGCGGACACCTTGGAGGCGGAGAAGCTGCCGCCCGTGGCGCGGGAGGCGATGGTGCCCTTGGTTCAGTCGCTTGGAGGGAGGGTTTTGGGATGGACCTGGGAGAACGGGACCCACGAAAGAGGACGGGGCCTCTTGGGACTTGCGCAAGGTGGGTGGGTTACGACGAGGTTGATCCATGTCGATGAATTATATGAATGAAGGACTGTTGATCATGTTGATCCTTGTGTTCCCCAGCTCTCGAGCATGGGTTAAATGCAGGCAGCCCTCAAATTTTTGGTGGCGGATGGGTTTGGGCTGACGGTGGCCACAGGCCCCTTCCGAGGTTCTCAGCCTATGTCTATGTGGCTGACGAAGAGGAAGGCGTAGTCCACCTGGACGTCATCCGCTTAGGCCGGCGTCCATCACGTCTGGTTTCGGCCGCGGCGAGGAGTTTCTGGCGGTGTAGGCGACGGCTTGCTGTTGGTTGGCGGTGTTCCCTATCAACCAGGTTGAGTTGCGGGCTAATCTGTCATAGAAAATCGTACAAAGAAGTAAAGAGGGGGGTTGTGAATACAATGGGCCACGCTATGCACCATTGCCCACGTTGGCCTTCAAGTCACGGCTTCCTTCCCGCATGGTCAGGAGACCAATCGCAGCGCTCCTCCGTCCGCTGGCAGACCAAGGACCTGGGGCAAAACTCGTTCACTGACGGGTCCCGTGGGAGAAGCAGAGACTTCGCGTGCGAGGAAACCGCTGAGTAGCTACTTTCTGGATGGCAACAGTGACCCCCTCAGAAGTGACATGACTGACTGCAACTGGCTGAGTTGCACCAGCCAACAGCAGCCCCTTACCTATAGTGATCCAATGCCAATGACTTCCTTGGTTTCTTGGTGGAAGAGTACCTGGCGGCCCTTCCCGCCGAACCGCGTCAGGACGGAGCAGGGAAGGCGGGGTTCGTTCTTGGTAGCGTCGCGTAAGCGTCGCTGTGCCTCGCTAGTGCCTTGGTATGTTCCTCCCCCCGCGGGTTCGGGTGGTCACTCACAAGAGATCACTGGAGCCACTTCTTGTGGAGGATTTGGGAGGGGTCGCTGGAAGCGGGAGAGACCAGTTTGGGAGGTTGAAGATGGCGGACCTTGGTGGGAGACCTTGGCATAGACAAAGGTGCAATGGACCCCTCTGTTCGGATTTGTTTTCTGGTCTGACGAACATGTTTGAAGCCGGACGGCTGACGGCTTGGGGTTCCAAAAGGCGCAATTCACCACCAAGAGGCCGCTCCCGAGCCTAGTGTAGACCCTAAAAATTCATGACTGAAAACCACAGCCCCCAGACTTGGATTGTAAAACCTCTTCAGGCTTGGGGGTTGAAATGATCGTCCAGAGTCTACGATGACGCCCCGCAACCAAAAGACACCACATGCCACCCTGACAACCACACTTCTCGTGAGGGAAGCATGAATCAATCTGACAGGTCCAGTTCTTACCGGACCCCCTCCCAAATCCTCCACAAGACGGTGGTTCCAAGGTCTCCCAAGGTCTGCCATCTTCACCCTCAGAACTGGGATGCGACCCGCGTTGAGGGCTCGGGTCAGCCCTCAGGCGGGCGAGACCTACGAGGCGGCGAGCGGCAGCGTGGTCTTCGAGCCGGGCGATGGGATCGAATCGATCTCGGCGGCTCGGCGAAGTGGCGCAGATCAAAGCGGGGTGACTGACCAGCTGACTGGTGCGACTCGTATAGGGGATGAGGGATTGGATCCAAAGGAACCTCTATTGGGGCTCATTCCCTCATTCTCTACTAAGCACCAGTCAGATGACTGACCAGGGGTCACATGGAGTTGGGTGGTTTTGTTCGTCCCATCCAGGGGCCGTGGATAGTGGAGAATGGGCACCCCGACTTCCTCCGTTCGTTCGGCACCCCTTTTTGTGACTGCTGGGATGTTGCTTTTTCTTGTTTTCTTGACTTCTTTACTTCATCTACATACCATAGACTCTAGACCGTCCTGTCTGACCTGTTTGGAGATGGATCCCCCATAAGTATATAGTGGGCCGGGTAGTCTATTGGAGACCGATTGGATAGTCCAGGTAGCTGATAGAATGCCATTTAACACTCAATTTTGTATATGGGACAGGTAAGCTGCCGTTTTTAAAACTTGGACTACTTTCATGCTCACCCCCCACCCACCTGCAGAGAACTCGACCATCCATCCTCCCTGTCCTGGTCGCAGTCCGGGAGAGGGCCGAGGTGTCAGACGAGAGGCGGAGGTTGTCCGGTCGCCAGCACCTGACCAGGTCCTTTTTGGGGGTTCGGTTCGGTTCGGACGGTCAGGTGGGGGATACCAATGAAAGGAAGTCATTGCTTCGATCACGGATGAAAAGGTGTCCGAACCACCCCGATGGCCTCTGAACGCACCTTTTACCACACCTGGTGTGCCTTCGGATGCCTTCGCTGTCTGCCCATGTCTCATCTTCGAAGTAGCGCCACACTGGTCTGCACGCGTGGTCCACGGGCTCTGAGGTGAAGCTCCTGGCCAAAGACACCTGGAGTTCCATTTTAGACTTCCAAGTGGAGCTTTTGGATGACTCTCTGGTGCCACTTGACGGGAGGAAATGGATTGAACAAGGCTGGAGAGGGGGCGCGGTTTTCAAGGGCAGGTGAAGACATGATGTGAGAAGTGAGCTGACATAGAGGTGCCAGACTTGAGAAGTGAACAATTGGAGTGAACAATTGGAGTCGAAAAGGCTTGAATAGGTCAATATCTATCGTGCGATCGTTGATGCTGCGATGCAGTGCTGCACTGAGCAGCTAGCACCGACCTTGTTTCCTCTATGGCTTGACCGATAGCTCCAAGAGAGTGATTTGATGAACCCATTCGATGCTCTGAGGAATGCCAAGCTGGCACAGTACGGCAGCAAGACGCGAGTGAAGGCCCAGAAGACAGTGCAGTGCAATGCAATGGCCCGAGACAACGTGCAGCCCAGTTTTCAAAGTGCAGTGTAGGCCTCCCCACACTGCACGGTTCCTCCAGTCTTTGAGGAACATCAAAGACTTCCAAGCCTTCTTCGACTGCTGTAAGAGCCTTTGCCAAAACCGCACTTTGGCTCTTAACATGATCAACTGGGCACCCCGTGTTCCCATCTTCCGGGTTCACCCGGGCTGTCGGAGCGCACTGGTTTGGGAGGACCATGGTTTCAGAGGCTTCGATGGCACCAGTGGACCCCCCCAGTGACCCGGTGCTGCGTCGAGTCGACCGGACGGCTCGTCTGGAAACCAAGATGTGAAGCAACCAATATCGACGATCTTTGGACCGACTGAAGGTCAGGATAGGACATTCCCCCCAAAAGACCCCGGAAGGAGCGGACTCCCAGACCATCGACCGTCGACTCCGTCGACAGGTGGTGGACAAGGACCAGTTCCCGTCCAACGAGCTGAAGATCGGCAACGTCTTGGACTTGGAGTCGACCGAGGCTGGACGCCCGAGCGGCACCGGAGGGTGTTCTTGGAGGAGTAGCATTTTTGGTGTGGCCACCAGTGCCCTGGTAGGGCGCCTTGGTGCCAGGGGTCCACACCAAATGATGAAAAACAACAGTTGTCACAGTTGTCACATACAAAAACAATGTTTTGTGCTAGGGTAAGCCAGGTTTTTGATGGGCATGTGGGGCCCCCTAGTTGGTACAGCTCCTTGAAGTCGATCTTCCCATTCTTTTTTTTTAAACGGTGAGCACGATCGGTTTTGATCGACCCGACTTCAGCGACTTCAGCGCCTTCGCCGCCAGCGTCGTCAGGCGCAGGCCTCCTTGCCCATTGCCACCCTCGCCTCCCGGTCGCCAAAGAGTCTCAAGAAGTAGGACCCTCTTCGCACGCGAGGACGAGTGGATGGGTTTTCAGGTCCTGACTTCGCCTGACATGCCTTCGTTCGACCCGGACGGCCGCCGAAACGCCGTCGACCGGGTGGGGCGTTTACTGGTCGCGCAGTCGGCAGCCACGCGCGCCACGAGGTCAAAGAGTTCTGCTGGCTGAACTTCACGTGCAATCCCAAAGTGAGGTCAGGGACTCAGAGACTCGGGGGCAGAGAGGTGCTAGGGGCGGTGCTAGGGTCGTCGGGATCGGGATCTCTTTGAGAGGAACCGGTGTCCAGGATCCCGACGACCGAGAGGTGCGGACGCGGCTCTTGGCTCTTGGCTCGGGCGAACCGGAGCGTTGGACTCGATTGAGGCAAGGCACCATCAAGAGGATGATGCTGGATTGCTGCACGAATCTCCACAAGCTTTTGTGACTCAGCTTTGGACTGGTGGCCACCAGGTCCTGCGGTCAGGAGTGGCAGGGGAACTCACGATCCAATGTAATTGTCACTTATCAGCTTATCAGCTTATCTCCACAGAAGCCTGTGTTGAAACGGGATTCTTTCGTATGCAGGATGTGGAAAGACGCATCACCCGATTTCTTTGACACTTCTCTCTTTTCACTCACCATTACCGACCATTCCATCTTGGCCACGTACGAAAATGACTCTCTCAACTTCCCGACGCTCCGTAGCTCCACACTGACCGATCAAAGGCTCATTGGACCCTCATAGCTAGGGTTTTGACCGTCACGACTAGGGTTTTGGACCTCAAACATGTAGCAGTTTAAGGGTCCATGAGCGTCTGGGTGATCAAATATGTCAGTCCTGCATTGACTTTGACGTGGTGTTTGATCCCGGATCCTTGGGCTCGAGGTGTATGCGCAGCGCACGAAATCCTCCAACCTCTGCCGAAACTGGGGAGGTGGTGCTTCGAAGAAACTGGGGTCGTCGGCGATGTGGCAAGGCACCTGTATCCTCCTCCACACGGGACACCCAACTGAGCATAGCAACGTGATGCGCGTGTTCATGCGGCCAGGCTTTGTGCTTGCCCCGCCCAGGCTTCTCTTCTTGCGGGTGTACCTCTTGGACAAGATCCTGGTGTTACCTGGCCATGTTTAGTCTTCTGCCAGCGTTTCGGGAGTGGTGGTGCCAATGGCCCTTCGACATGGGAGGGAGATGGATTGTCCCCAGAAACCTGCAGCATTGATCCCAGCATCCTGAGATGCCAAAAGAAGCAGACCTCCACAATTCAAGCGCTACGTACTTCACAAGCGCTCTCAGAGGCTCGCTGCCACTTGAAGTTAAGTTAGTGTTATATACTATATACTTGTTCCTCCGTGCTACCTGACATGTTGAGACGGCTTCTCTCTTCTCTCCGGTGCATCATGCTTCTGACTGAGCAGAGTTGCGGCAACTTCCCACAAGACGACCCTCCCTTAACGACAGGTTTTCTCCACAAGTTCACCCCTCATCTCGACCCATCTGCTGAGCTCGGCAGCTCAGCGGCTTCGGCAACGAGGCCAGACGTGCCTGAGACCAGCCTATGGCCCCTTGGGATGCAGATCGCTCGATGCGATCCCCACTGGGGTGCCAGAACATGCGCTGGCTCCGCCCCCTCAAGAAATCAACGTCCTTACAGGTCCAGTCGGACCCAGGTCCAAACCTCCTTGTTGAGTAGTGATTTCGTATGATCAACAGCAGTCACGTGATGTTTTGGACCTGTAGGGAGAACCACCAGGAGTTCCAAAGCGGAAAATTCATCAAATGACAACCTTAGTCTCTAAGTCAGTGGATGTGACGGGGACTCTCCTATCTTCCAAGTTCGGCACCCCTTCTGAGACTGCTGGCGCTTGCTTCTTGATCCTGTTTTTCCCTGCCCATGTCTGCAGTGGACTTGGTAGGTTCGCATTTGAAGCCGCTTGCCGCTTGACGGCCGCTTGCTCATGCTCGCTCCGTGACGTTGGTGGGCCGGGCACGGAGGTTTATCCACGACCACCAGGAGTCCTTGTACATCTACATGGGTGCGCTGTGGCTCGAGCGATGGGGTTTCGCCGGCGGGGCCCTGCCGCGGCTTCGCAACGGAGCAGTTAGAGGGTGTAGCTGCGTAGCTGCGTAGCTGCCATTCAGCTACTCATGAGCTAAGCTAAGCATCTCAGAATTTTCCGAGCAGCGCTTCCACCCTGAGGGTCAAGGACCTCCGGTACCCGCCGGCCCCCCGCGCTTCGGACGCTGTTCTCGCCGCGGATCCTTCCGGACGAAGGGTGGCTTGGGGAAGTAGAGAGGGTTCCGAGTCGATGAAAGGTTTCGATTCTGACATATGACATATGACATGATAGCATACCTCAGGGTAGGATAGATGCAGTCTAATTATTCCTGGGTATAGTGAGGGGAGGGAAGCGGGATGGTATGGTGTATCATATGACATGATGGCATCTGACAAAACTATCCGAGTCGAACATGATAGCACATGACACAGTAGTATATATGACACATGCGCGTGTCCGTGTTAAGCAAGGACCCAGCTAAGACTAAGAATCTAGAAGCATGTCGCGCTGAGACGAGCCACACATCCCCAGTGCGATCTTGGGCGGTGATTTTGGCGTCGAAACATGTCGAGCGATGAGACTGACTGACCATCCAGATGCGCTGACCGGAGCAAGAGCGGAACATCACAGCAAGAGTGGAAGAGTGGCCAAGATGACCGGCGAAGGGCTTGGCGCCGCCCTGGCTCGTGATGAGGATTGGCCCCTTTGCGGTTCTCTACTTGTTCGAATACCTCAGCCTGGGCTGGGGCATCAATGGCACCACCATCACCTGGATCCAGTCGGCGGTTCTGCGGCGCTACCTGCACCTTGGGTGGCATCGGCGAGCGCGGCATGGACCCACCCTGGGTCAACCACCCCCAAGCGTGGAGAAACATGCCAGTCTTGATGGAGTGTCCGGGGTAGATGGCATGTACCAAGCTTTAGTTGCTCTGAAGTTGCGGACACGTTTCACGATGTTTCACATGTCACCAGGACAGGACAATTGTCACCATGACACGTTTCACCTGTGACTCATCATTATATAGTGGGGCGCCCCGAAAAGGTGTCAGCAGCTTTTCACCGGTCAGAGTCCTGTTTCGGACCTCGATTTCACATCCATTCCGCTGCCCAAATGAGCGCTTCGCTCCATGTTCATCATTGAACTCACCGGTGCCATAAGATGGTTTGTCTCTGCCACTCCGCCTCGGAATTCGGAAATTCCGAGCTCTGCCGGGACACCTCCCGTCCCCCAAAACCGCACAGGTGTGCGTGCCCACCCCCACCCCCCCTCCTCCAGTGGCCAAATTGGCCCCCCCCCCCCGCCACCCATGCCGGCGAGCGAGGTTGCTGGCCAGAAGCAGCACCCCGCTGACCTCGTTCGATCTTAGAGGGAATGGCACTCGCAAAACATAGGTCTCAGGTCAGGTCTTAGTGGTAGCACCGCACGGTCATTCGATCCCAGGAACTACAGCAGCACGGCGCAGAACATCACCGATGAGGCCGTCGTGTCGGTGGCCTTGAACCGAGACGCCCAGTCCTTGGCCAAGGAGCGAACCTGGCGTGACCAGTTGGGGTCGGTAGAATGCCGGGTTTACCCGGGGGGTCTGGGGGGGGGGGGTCAGATGGTCCGGACCCGGGATCCTCGGACGGGGCGCTTTGTTTTTTGTTGGCCATTGTCTTGTTTTTTCTCAGTTGGGGTTGGGGATGAGACTTTGAGAGGGAC